ATTTTTCTCATTAGAGAGAGATGTCATGGAATCCACAGGGCTAGAGTCTGAGATCAGAGTGGCCCTACTCATAATACAGTATATTCCAAATATACCAAAAGTCATAAGAAGCATTGGATTTGCATATGCTTGATATAGGTTTATAATCAGATAGTTGCACCTTACTATCTGGTATGTATGGTCAATGGGCATAATCCTCTCCCTCATTCCATTCTTCCCTCTACATATCATTTTATGTAAAGTTGGTTGATAAGAGATGGGAAGCCTGTGGCTCTCCCAGATGTTGCTGAACAACAACAAACACCCAAGTTTGTGCAACCAAGAGTAAAAACATGGGATCCCTCATTCATGATTGATGCTGTGAAGTATGTGATAAACCTTTACTGAACTACAGATAAAACTGCAGTCACCTCCTGCAAATGATACATAAAATTTATCATTTCTATTTGAAAATTGATAAATTCACTAATACCCACACGTATACCCCAAGATACCTTTTTTATACAGGGAGATAAATCCAAATGGGAAGTTTGGATTCCATAATCCAAAGTTTGTTCCATCAAACAGGGATTCTTAAACTGTGGGTCGTGATACACAGCAGGCCATGAATAAATTAGAGGAAGATCACAAGACTTTTTAAATTTTTGCTCTGGCATGGTGGTGAAGCTTTAACTTTGGAGTGCCAGCTAAGTTTACAAATTGAATATTATTAAGCTTTGGTTCACAGAAGCACAAGGTGACTATGAACATTTAAAAATGTGTATTCTTTAAAATATTTTTATAGAACATTAATTTGAAATTTTGATACCAGCATATCTATTTTATAATACTTTTAAAAGTTGTCTATCACTGTTATGTTAAAATGCAGATAAGTGTATGCTTTTAAATGTAATATATTTTGTGCCCTGGGTTTTTAACACAATTAAAATGAGCAAATCTGATTTCAGAATAGTATAACCACTACACCAGGTGTTCATGTGAGAAAGTATTATTCTTATCCATATACACGGATCACCATTATCTAGATCTGAATTCTCTGATAACTATCTCTGTGTCTGGACATTTCTGGAATACATATAGCAGATCCATAGTTTTTGACTGCCTGTAATAGTACAATGATAATGAATTTAGGGAACTATTCAGTGCTTGATTACAGCTTATACACATTATACTACTGTGGAGGAATTATTGATATCTTCTCATGCTTTCTTGGGGTGGTGGTGGAAATCCTGTCTCTCCTTCAATTTTGATCAGTGCTCATTAGCACACAAAAAAAAAGTAAATGCAACTCACCTTGGCAACTTTAAGATACTGGTATGTGGATTTCAACTCCCAGAATTCCAGAGCCAGCACGCTTGACTGGAGAATTCTGGGAGCAGAACTCCACAAAGAGCCTTATTTAGTCAGGATTTTCTATGATTGATGAAATGCCATCAGATTGGTGTCTACTCTTAACAACCACAGAGAGAGATTTTTTTTCCTAGGATTTGACTCAAATATAATTTTCAGGTCTTGCAGTTGCTGACATAAGTAACAAATGAATGATGAAAGACATTAAATATGAACAAGCAATAAGTTTTGTTGTCTTAAAATGAATGCCAGCTTTTAGGAATTATGTGACCAAGCAAGCTCACCTTTTTCTCATCTGCATACCAAGCAAGCTCATCTTTTCCTTTAAAAATATGATTTTAAATCTGATTTCGATTTTTGTTTGTTTCCAATGAGACATATTTATTTTCATAAACTTAACAGCTACATTAATTTAATGTGATACATTTTAATTCATAAAAGTGGTATGATTGGGTTTTTTGACCAATCCTAGTTTACTTGTGAGACAGAACGTTTTCATACAAATTAATTCACCATTTTAGGGAACTGTTATCACGTTAGTTGTGAAGTTTAAAGGAAGATTTTTTCTGTCCTTTACTTTTCACAACAATTAAATAAATAACTTATCATACTCTGGAAAGAATGCAAAATTACAGTGGATTTCCTTTTGGATCAGCAACTTTGACACATTACTATAAGGACATATATACACAGCAGTAATAAATTTCTTCCATGTTAGCAGCAATTTTTTTTTTTGAAACAAACCTCATTACAGTGGAAAAAAAATAGACTTCACAAAGACTTTTCAGAATTAAGCTTAAAATACAATTACATGACATATTTTTCAGATAACAGCAGATCTGAGAGCAATGGACACATTCTCATGATACATCTCTTACAGAGCATACAGTCACCTCTTTTAATGCCTCATTAATATTATCAAAACATCCAGAACAAAAAATGGGCTGCATTCATTAAAAACAAAATAGCCACTTACTGTTTACCAAGCATATTTTTTCCACCAATATATTCTATTAATTAGCACTTCTTGTGCTGGCTTAGCTTCCCAAGCCCAGAATAAATTAAAATAAAAAATATATCATTTTTGATCCCTGCCTGCAGATCTACACAAACAGAGCTCTCCTATCCATTGGGATCAGCAACCTTTCAGTGGTGGGGACTGAAGTGTATGTATATAAAAGACACATATTAAGAACAAGCCCACCCATTGTGGCAAAGGGAGTGGGGAGTGCAGGTGAAGGAAAAATAGGAGCAGAAAAAAAAGCAAGGGGCTGCAGCAACAAATGGAATTTGGAGTAATTTTTAATATACTAACTTGATAATAATTAATATTAAAGTTAATATTTGTAGGATCAGAACACATGCCTATCTAATCTTGCATCCAATTGCCTGCAATAATCAACCACTTCTAGAAACCCACAGGCAAGATAAGATGCCCAAATGTTCTCATGTACTAATCCTTGGCTTGTTTAACCATGTTTCTTGAATCAGTTACAGTGACTGTATTTATAGACAACATTAAACAATAAATCAGGTATGAAAAGATGGTCTTTATGGCCCCTAGAGATGCCCCTCATAGAGTGGAAGAGTCACCTAGAGTTTGAGAGGGTAGGATTTAAGAAGAAAATGAGTGCACAATCATCCCCCAGCCCTAAGAAGGAGGCAAAGACAAGCCATTTCTGAGAAATCTTATCAAGAAAACTGCAGGGGGATTCTCCAGTCAGTCACCAAGAATCTGACATGGATGGTTGACCAGAAGGAGAAAAAAAATAATCCTCATCTAATTTCAATTTAAAAAAACTCCGGAAACCCCACCTTCTCCAAGCTCTAATGTTCAACATCAGGCTTCACAAAGTGCAATGCAGCCCTCAGATTTGTGGATCATGTGTGACTGTGCCATAAGGTTTATAAAGCATATTGACAGGGTTCACACATTACAGTAAAGCACATGCAAAGAAATTAGCGCAACCCAGGGTCCCCAGTAGCTGGGATCCAGGGACAGGCTGTTTCCAACCATGGAAAACTATCACAACTAAAAGGCTTCAGGAAAAAGAAAGAAAGAAA